GGCATTTGTCCTTATGTTGGTTGTTTCACATGGTCTTGTTGATAATAACATTTACAAACAAACATTCTGTAGTGTTTGTTCTTAAATATTCACGACTATGTGCAAATATATATTTTATCTCTACCAAAGTCATGTCGATATCATATTTTGTCAATGTGTCTTAAATACTTATATTCGCTTAAACATATCACAATAATGCTAATTGCGACGCCTCATTCAGTAATTCGTTTGTTTTATTATTTTCAGGTATTTGGAATTTCTCAGAATGTGTCACCTATTTTATGAAACCCGTCAATTAAAACAGAATCATTTAGCAAACCTATTAAAGAAAATAAATGACAACAAGGGTGGTTTCAATTATAGTCCAAGTCCATGTTACAACAAATTTAAAAATTATGCTTACGTCTCAACTCTTATAAAAACATTTTAAATCCTAACATAAGAAAAACATATTATATTTCTTTACACAAACATCTCATTTGTTTCGCAAAATAATTGACATTATTCCAAAATAATTGAATTTACAGTCATAAAACAAAATATGTTTTGATAGTCGGTAACCGCTGATTGTTCTGTTTGTACCATTAAGCTATTGTATTTCTCGAAGTTATTGCATGCTACATGTTGTAAAAATTCGTGTCAAACACTATATATGGCGTTTAATTTCATAAAACCAAATTTCTCACGTTGTTGACTAATTAATCCATATGACATGCAAGGAATTTGTCACATTCTGGTTATTTTACATCAGGTGAAATATGTTGAACGTGAATCGGTTGTTATGATATCCACATAAATACAGCGTTGTTTCTGATCAATTCCTTTATGTAGGAAACTTTCAATAAATTATTTGATTTACCAAACTTAACGACATCAGTTTGTCATAGTAATACATATAGATTAAAAGTCAGTCTTAATTATTTAACGAACAAGACTATCTCTGATAATTAATTTTCTGATATGATGTCTATTTCATATCAAACCTGTTCTGAACTTCTGAAAATGGATACTTTACTATTGGTAATAAAAAAGATGATAAATTTAGCATTCGAAATTCATACATCGTTCACTTGCGAACAACAACAACACCATTTCATTTTCATATTATCCTTTTCACTGAAATATTAACAAATGTAAAAATAGTGAAAGCTCTCCAATCAATTATAGGCCTACACAGTACTTCATATTATCATAGTACACTGCAGTCTGATCAGGATACATGCTGTTCGCTTACAAACCCTTTTACAAGTAGAGAAACTGATAGCCTGATCAGACTGCGCGGAGGCGCAGGCTGGTCTGGATCCATGCTGGTTGCAAACCCACTATGTTGGTTTTGTCATGACGCGGCTAATATCAATTTATTAAGCTCTTCGTGATATCGTGAGAAAGAAAAATGTTTAAAACGTAAAAAGCAAGATGTCTTCTTTCGCAATAAGCTTGTGCGTTTTTAATAGTTTTATGAGTATTTGACAGAATATAAAAGCATCACAAATGTGACGGTTAATAGATCTTTTAACTCAGCATAAGTGTATGTTTCATATTTGGTATTTTCGGGAACCCAACACTCAGGTCTGCACGCTAGGCTCAGGAGGGAGAACATAAGATTTTTGATCCAGAGGCCGCTGAATTGACCTCTGGTGAATTTTTCTGTGACAATTGATCTCGAATATGATCCTTATGACATGTTCTCTCACAATTATGATGAGTAGTTGGTCACTCGCAGAGAAGTTAGTTAATACCATAAGATATCAAAGAAATCCGGTAAAGTGGACCGAGATATGACTTCACGTGTGCTGAAATCGACTTAAAAAACTAAAATATGTAATAAATTGAATAAAATGAATAACTCTGAGGGCAATATGCTATTAATCAATACTTTCCTTCTGATCAGAAAAATAACATTCTTGTAAAGCTTCTGATAAGACTGTCAACAATAAAAAATTGGATATTAAATTCACATGCAATCGCGCAACATAACTTACATAGCACTTTAACTGACAAGTTAAAAGAATATATGAAATTCTTAAGGTGTCACGAAACAAAAGAATAAATAAATGTTAAAGTTTAAAGAATAAAATTTGATATTGTTTCAGGCGAGTATGAATTATGTTACAATATTGATCATAGATTCTTCATAGCGACAAATTAAAGTACCATGCTTAACATCATACGATAAATAACAATAATAATAATAATAATAGTATAAGCTTAATTTTTGTCAAAGGCATTTAGAAATGATTAATTTTATTGGAATCACAATTAAAATGACAGAAAAAAGCAATTATTGCAATTTCTAACATTGATTTTCATATCAGGTACCCCCCCCCCCCAAACAAAAAGAGAAAAAAAAACACAAAAAACAACAACATTAAGTTGATTTCTGGCATACAAATGTTAATTTAAATTTTGCACTGTCAATTACATCACACCGTGCGGCGCCTCTCACATTATTAACTGTTAGAAACAAAATCATACTTTGCATGCCATCTTTCTTAATCTCAAATAAATAAATTCCAAACGTTTTTTGCACTGTAGGCAGACCGTTTTCTGGTGTTTAAAGCTGAGTGTCACTCTATCATTCGTAGAGCAATGTTCAAATGAATATTTTTTAGTTTTTAAATCAAATTTTGAGAAACAAACTTATTGCACTCTCAATGAAATTAACCGATGGGACATATATCGAGCATATATCAATTTACCATCTGAGTATCCAAAATAATTAATAGAAAAACATATGAACAATATTTGTCAAATGCTTTAGTAGATCTGGGTTTATTTGTCTATTATCATTGCAAGCATTTATACTAATATACATCGTTACATTAAAATGCCCTTAGAGACTATATTATTTTGTAAAATGAAACAAATTGCGGATGTTTTTTTTACTTTTATGAAGCAGCTTTATCTTAACCCACAGCTCAAGTTATTCTTCAGCATTGTGTGCTTATAATTCCCAATTTCCATTGCAGACACGATTTGATTCTTTACCAACATTAAATAAGATCAGTAGAACGCGTTTATATACAGAAAAATAATGTTTTATCTTCTTCATAACATTTTGGTCCTTCAGGGAGAAACTATCACCATTTATCATCATCATGACTACAGAGTATATATTCCTTTTAATGATGTTCATGTTTTCGTAATCCTATTTCATTTCCTCCTAAGTAATAGTTATAAGAGCCATATCTATTATGCGTTCCCGTTTCCCGACAAAATAAATCTATACAGGAGTGTTCACTGTGTGGTTTGCAATTATAGATGAATTATATTTGCCACAAATTGTATCCATTAAAATAATGGAATCATAGATTACACATTTTAAATGGATTTAAATATAGTGCTTCTTATGTCAAATGAAGGCGTAGCAACAAAGGAAATTAATTAAGAATATTTTAAAGAATACCAACCAATTTAAGTTAAAATTGCAAGCATTAGGTGATGTTTGCAGTAATTGTTGGTCTAAATATATTTGTAAAACAGTAACAGTATTATATTCTGTTCCATTTTATTCTGTCTTAAAGTCTTTTTTAATTTTTGCAAAAAAATAAGTAAAAAGAATAAAATGAGAATTTTGTATAACTTTCAATTTCTGTCTGTTCATGGACAGGACATGGTTGTAATTTGATGCCTTGTGTTATTTCCTTCTGTTGTGGATTTGCGGATGTTATTTTTTTTACTTGCCTGCCAAGCTGAGTTCTGCTGTAACAAGTGCTAGGGAGCGGAGATGGTAGTTTGAAGGTTTAATCAAACAAAGCCTGCAACGTTTTTGGTCGTCTCTGGGGCGTTTTCAAAGGTTTTGTATAAATGACTGTATAGAGGCTGGATATATTTATGAGATTGTTAAATCAAAGTCATAATTATACTTTGATAACGCAAACACTGAAGAAAACTTAAGCAAAAAAGATCAAAAAGTGAAGATAATGTTTGTAGAATGTATCCCTACAAACATCCTTCCGCATAAGATCACATGAAACGCATCAAGTTGGACAAACAACCTAGGGCAACATTTTGCAGCTATACTACTACAAATGGCATTCAATCTTCTTATTTCATCTGATTATACAAAAGGCACACGTATCCATTTAATTGGGGACCATATACCACTTTTCATTATATAGCACTTACGTATCCAATTGATAACCGCCGTATAAACATATCTGCAGATGTTTCTAAATTCCAAATTTCACCATTTCGATGTTAAAATATTTAATTCTGCCTAAGCCAGCGTAACTTGCGACGGTAACTTGCAGTTTCCAGCACCGTGCGTGAACATGCTAAATCAAATCGAGCCTGCGACATTTTCAATTTGATCGTTTTGGGCTTTCTATAAGGATTCCGTTTTTCTCTATTTCGGAAGCACAGCGTTAGTTAAGGAACTGTAAGATACTGATAAACGGTGAACGGTTCAAGAAATTGCGGAGCAACTATCTCTCTCATATTACACAGTGCAGTACTTTGCAGTTCGGGAAAGGTCAGCCCTATCCAACGTTGACGTCGGTGTGTTTCAAGTACTACGTAGTACTATTGTTTAATGTTTTAAGTCAATGTTTTTGAATACTATTCATGATATATTTCAGTCGTGAGTAAACGAATTTGTATTATGTTCTTTCGTCCGAATGGGAACATTTTGCAGGTGCGCGATGAAGAAGCATCCTACCATTGTTCCAGGTTTCACTATTAAGCGATTCCGATCCTGCGAACTTATCAATGACCCCTCATATTTTGTGTTATCAATACAATTATATTTAGATATACAAATATATGTAGTTTCGTACGAAAAAAAGATGACATATTAAAGGGACTACGCAGCACGTAAAGCACATCCTAGCTTTGACAAGTAAATGGAACTAAGTTCTAAATCTGTGCACGTGCGTGGGTGTGTTCATCCAAGTTCCACACATGCAGTTGACATATTCAAGTTCATAACTAAATTTTTAAACTATAGACTATGATATGTGAGATAATGTGACATAAATAAATGTCATAAATATGGCACACAAGTTGTAAAAATTAATTCTTTATTTCAAAAAGACCAATGTTTTCAATATCTGAGTAACAATATTCTTCTTATGACAGCGATTTTACAGAAATGATTAAAAATAAAGTAAAACCTGAAATATTGTAGATAAACATGTGTATTGTTTACGTTATACTGTTTCTGACTTGACATACATGTTTACCTAAGACCAAAGTATTTTTTTCAACAAGACAACACTTAATTCCATTATTTGCACAATAGATATATTGAACTACACAGTTATTTGTTCCACATCTCATTTGTTTTATTTGTTTTTCTTTTTACTGTCTTTTTGTCTTTTACAAAAAAGTTCTGAGTTCTTACATCAGTCAAATAGATATGTGTTTTTGTTTCAGAGATGTTTAAGATATTTTACTTGATAACAGAAATATCGTCTAGTACATTATAATTAAGTATAATTAATGAACTGCTCATTCACGACGTCTCATTCATTTATTCGTCTTAAGTTTTAGTTCAGAAATGTTGCCTCCTGAAAGACTATTTACAAATCTTTTCCATCCACCAACAACATAAAATGTAAAGAAACATTTGACAAACAATTTTAACAAAAACTTGACTTCTTAGAAGGTGGAACAACTAAAGTATCACAAAGCATCTCTAAACATGTTGATTTGATTTCTTACTTTCTTCGTCTGTATCCCTGAAACCAAAGCATAAACATGTCAGTTCGGTTCTGTATGTTTTAGCGCCACTTAAACATGATTATTTAACCAAACAAAATTGATGTTTAAATATTTATAAATACAGGCCCATTCAATAGAATTATCATAATCACTGTCAAATTTCTTTTTGTACCTTTAAATGTTATTATGCATTGCGAATACGTCGATCGAAGCAGACGAGTTATCACTATTTCTTGTCAAAATTACCCTAGTTTATATACCGATTATTCCGATGAAATGGCTTATTATAATTTATCATGTTATTCCATTTTAACTGTTTTACATTAAGTTTATTACTTTTGAACATATTTCAAAACTTAAAACATATGTTATGAATACCTAAAATACTTAAATTATTTTAACAAATATTTATATATATATATCTTAGATAATATTCTTAAATATTTTTAAATATTCTGCACACACAAAAAAAACAACAAAAAAGAACGTTTTATATAATTTATGAATTACCTCAAAATATTCCCGAGGGTAATAATTTTGCTGTCTTAGAGCAGCTGCTAGGGCCATTACTCTTTCATAAGCATCATATGCCTCTGCCTCTTCTCTCAACGATCTCTTGTCAGGAACAAAAGCCTGAAAATGTGAATCAGGTTCTTTAAAATACGGAAAGAAATCACGGTTTCGTTTGATACCTGGAACAAACGATAGTGATTGACGTTTTGGCAGATAAATTGGAGAGTCAAACTCAATGTCATTAGCTTCCTCATAAGGCTGGTATTCTTCATATGGACTCATGTATATATCGTCATCATATGGTTTCGAGTCATCAAGAACATCCAATAGTTCAGCTAGGTCTTCTTCTGTCACAGGATAATTGTTGTATGGCGTGTTTAGAATTCTGTCCTCATAAGGCAAATATCCATCAACGTCCGGGAGATAATATGCCTGTCGCTTGACTCTGTGACTTCGTTTTAACATGGGAAACTTCATGTCTTTCATGTTTCTGACTTGACTGCGTCTGTACCGTTGGAAGTTTCCATATGGAGAGTTGTAGTTGTTGTAGTATCGATAAGGATCCTGGTTCCAGTATGGGAAAGTAGTGTCTTTAAGGAGATTTAAATATGGTGCCATATCTTCATCTGAATCATCATCTGCAATATGTTTAAATATGTAATGTCTTTTTATATTTATGGCTCAACTCGACTGGACTTTGTACATTTATACGTAACATATTTCTTAACCTATTTTTGGAGGGGTGTCATGTAAATAATTTAAACTTTTCAGCAATATATTAATATAAGTTAATATCTACTTGAGGGCAACTATCTATCTGATTATCAAAATGAAAATAAAGACCAACAAGGCAAGGCGACGTTCAAAGAAAGCAACCCCCGACACAATCTAGTTACACCAGCAGGTATCAAGAAGGCACCGAACTAAAAGCGGACACAAGGGCGGTTATATGAGGGAAAGGAAGTGTAATAAGTAAAATGATAAGAACTAAATCGGGCCGATACGGGAATTAAAGAGACATTGGATATAAAACTAATAATCCGCTATGTTCAATAAGTTATTGTCTCTATGGTAGACATGTACAAATCTGCTAGATATTTTGTCATGGAAAAAAATCACCTTATCTTAATATATTATCCTTACTGTTTTAAAGGCTTATGAAATGATTTAAAACACCTGTATATTTGTCAGTAAATGTCAAAGCTATTAAGCCGCAGAACACAATCCATAAATAGACTTCGAAATAATGTTAGGATCAGTGTTACTCTTTGAATCAATAAATGGAAATACAAACACATTATAATTCATTTTCAGGAAAACGTTTAATATATAAAGAAATAATATAATGTAATCTAGTAAATTACTTATCTTTAACTTGCATAAATTTTATAAACCTGTTGTCAAACATTGTGTTAATTAATTTAGATTCTATTACAAAATAGTTTCGAGTACTAAGTAAATCTATGTTACCCCGAAGTTTTTCCAGTTCTTTCAAATACTCCTCTACACTCATTTCATCCTCGTTTTCGTCATTGTCTTCTATTACAGGTTCTAATGCAGTGTTTGTTTCAGCCGTATCCTTATCTGTCGTCTCAATGGAATCTTGCTCAGCCGTATCTGTTTCTTGAATTTCTTGATTGTCTATCTCAGCATTGTCTTCAATATTTGACTCATTTGTTTCATCATTGCTACTCACTAACTCTTCAGCCTCATTAGAGTTTTCCGTTTCTTCAGGATCCAAATTAGACGCTTCATTAGCAATTATGTAACCATTTTCATCTACATTATCTGCAGGGCTAGCCCTTTTGACACTACTCTGTTGCTCATTTTGCTGATTCCCATACATCATTACTTCTTTCGCCCTTTTCACTACAAATTTGAGTATTAAATTATTGTTACTTAGTTATCAAGTATTCTATAATTCAATCAATACATATTCAAAAAAGTAGAAGTAAAATAACGATATAAATTTTGAATTGAAATCATTTCTTCTTGTTAACGTTTATATGTAATTGTACTTTTAATATTTTTCATAGATCATACTCAACACTGAACTAAAATGACTATAAGACTATGGCTATTGGGAGAGCCCAGGTGCTCAATATGGATAGCAATTTAAATATTCTTTTTATTTGTTACTTACTATTCCAATATATTTGTTTTGAATTTAAAAATTGTTTTCCTTAAAACTATTAATAAGGTATGTGTATAATTTATAAATTTTCCTTCAAGAAAAATAGAGAATATATTACATCACCTCTTATATCATCACTGTTTATTTCTAATGCGTCAGCTTTCTCCCCAGTTGGTGCACACATGGCAACAGCAAACGTCGACAGTACCACAATAGCTACCCTCATTGTGCAGCTGGATACAGGACCAGTCTGAAAGAAGGAAGAAAACAATTCTGTTTAAATGGGGGACTGGTCTACAAGGGGCACACTTTCTGTTTGTATTTCAAATATTGATAGAAACAATAGCAATGTAGCATTTGCGTATTTTTAGTCTATTTCTTAGAGGAAAAGTTAATTGAGCTCTTAGATAAACATGTAAACTTAAACCGTCAAATATTAGTTTCATTAAATTGTTTTGTTTGTTCACAGCATCTATACCTTACACAACTTAATATTAAAAAAGAGTTTCGCTGAATTAATTTTTATTAGAGATAATGAAGTATAAAAGCACAAACAATTTGCGCTGTTATTTTGATATTTAAGTAGAATTTAGTTATCTAAATCAGGTTTCAGATTTGTTCGAACGTTATGTCATGAATAAAATAGAAGTCTCTAAGATACTTTGCGTTTACGTAGGCGAATCCAATTATGAAAACTGTCTGATGTGTCTGGATAAATGTAAGTCAACTGGATAGAGTTTAAGGTGGTCATGTTACAATAAAAAAACAAATATAATGGATTTTGAAATGTGTCATTTCTCTTTAAGTTCTTTCTTTTATTTGAAAAGGTTCACTTAATTCAAATGAGTTATTGTTATAAGATCGTTGTTATATATCGTTCGCACTTGACACCATTTCTATAGATTACATCATTCTTACAGAAAATAGTAACAAAAGAATAATATATAATTGCTCAAATTATGCATTGTTTCAAATGGTGCTTGTTATTTCGCTTTTAGTATTGCTTGTTCTAATTTTCGTTTTATTGTTTTATGAAAGCAATTTGACTCACGAAATATGTAAATAAACATACATTTATACTGACAACTTATGATCTTTATATCTAATATGTTCGTATATTTTGAACAAATGACATGAAATAGATATTAAAGAAGATAGGAGGGGGCGTCCGTGGCGTAGTTTTAAGTTTTAAGTTTTTAGTTTTAAGCCAGGCCGTCGACTTCCAACCACTAGCCCCTCATCGATGTGTGTTCGAATCCCGACAGGGGTTTTGTTCCTTTCATGTTAGGAAGCAATCCAGCAAACTGACGGAACATCGGTGGTGCTTCTTAGATGCCTGTTCATTCCGAAATAATAATGCACGGATGGCCTCTTCCACAAGAAAATCTGGTGCGCCGTAAAACCAAACCAAAGAAGATAAATTGAACGTTCTTATCAATTAAATCTTATTTATAAAAGTGAAAGTTCGGCATTCGTGTATTTTCCTATGAAATCACATTTAAAGCACATTATTTTGCAACTTCATTATCTTAACAAAAATGACTTCCAAGATTTGTATAAAATTGGTTTGTTGCTTTTATGACAATTAGCATTCATCACTTATATTCTAGAGGACAATACGAAGAAACAATGAAATTGGAAGATCTGATTTGTGTATTTTTGCTTTAAAATACATTGTTTAAGAATATCAAATCATCAGAAAGAAGTTAATATACATATTTATTTAATTTTTCGTTCGAAAACAAAATGTATATTTAAAGTGATATAAATACAAATTATACTAATTCGAGAAATTGTATTACCAAAGTCATTTAAAAGTAATGAGACAAAAATGCAATTTTCAGTCTAAATGCAAATGTGTAATGTGTTTTACTGCTGGTATGTTGAAGTAATAGAAAACGAACTTTAATAAACGTCTTTAAAAAGCTAAATAGGTTTTCCTCGTAGGAAAAAGATAATTTAGATAGCTTATTGATTCGAGAACATCAGAAGTAATTCAAAGTTCGTGATTTGATTATGGTTTGATTAGCTACGAAATAGTGAAATTAGAATATTGAAAAAGTGAAATAGAGAAACAGAGACTTCAGAAAATAATCAAAGTAAATCGTTAAAATACTGAAAAACACTTGCAGCTTGCTGTTTTATGTCAGGCAGCTGAAACGTGTTCGTTTTTGTCTTGTACACGCTTGTTAGTTTTTATAAAAATCAATTGAATTTCCGGTCAAATGTATTATTTGCCTATATCGTAATGCTTGTACATGTACATAAAATATTTATAGTACATTATATTACAAAGAACACGCTGGCCATCAGCGATGATTCCAAATTTGTTTGTAAATATTTTGTTGCTTATTAACTCATTATATTATAACCTATTTATGTAGACAGATATTAAAGTGACATTTTATACGTAAGTGTAAATAGTTATGTAAACTGAATATTGAACTTTATGTTTTTCTTAATAATTCTGATAAAATTAAACAATGTTTTGTTCTAAACAATTCTGATAATACAAGAGAGTAAAATATTTCTGGAAGATGTACATGCCCGTTCCATATTTATCTATTTAAATCATTTAAGATTTTCGCTGTATTTTGTATTTATAAACACATATTTCGCGTGTATCGTAGTATCTTTTGAAATGTTCCTTGTATTTATAATCTATATATAAGTCTTTTATAGCCCTCTTCTGTAAATTTAAATCGATCTAAGACTTCATATAAGTATGTTCTTATCTTGTGTCAAACAATTGTTATGCTTCCCAGATATTTCTATAATTTTCTCATCTCGTATAAATTGATTATTGCTTATTAGATGTACACTCATTTCGAAGACTAATTTATGTATGTGCGACATTGACTTTGTGTTATCGACTTGTCCTACTTCCAATTGGAAATATCCATGTTTGCTTGATTAGATTACGATATCAATTACTAAATTTTAGAGGAGCACACAAAGCCTTTTTCGATATAGCTGATACACAGGCTTGCGGACTGACCTAATAATGATGACTCTAATCTTTATTTATCGCTAATCATTTCCTGTAACAATGTTTTATGTATTCATTGCATTTGTAATTGAATTGGAAGTATATTCATCCTCAAAATTTAATCAGTTATACTTTTTAGACCAATAACGAATTGCTTTTAAGGGTGTCACATATTTTGAAAATTTGTTCTCCTTGTTATAAAAATGATCTAAGAAATATCAAACAATATATTGTCTTTTTTTGTATAGATATACAATAAAAGTATATTGATTTCTTGATAAATTGTACTTCGTATTTAATGTGCATAATATGCATTAGGATTAAACAAAGTTGGTATTAAAACAATTTCTTTTTATGTTTTTAATGTATTTCAACTATGACTTTCATTTAAGCTACAGATTAGTAAAATAAATATTGTTTTGAAAATAAAAGAAAACTTTAAACGTCAGCCGTATCAGAAATGTATGAAAACACCAAATCCATATTTGATTTAGAAAATAACATAACGTATTATTTTATCAAAATATTTCTACCGCTATTTTCTCATACATGCATTTTGGGGCAGTATAAAAATTAAAATCACTACTTGTTCGCTTGACAATAACTTTTGTAGATTTTCTAAATCGTGAAAAAAGTGAAATAATATGGAGGCTTTAGATGTTCCTAGGAATGCAAAAAATCTTGATTATATTCTTGCACATAATTTTCACAAATACCGGCTTTGAATAGATTAAATTGGAAATGTGCCAGATTTTACGCTGACATTTTCCACGGTAGACATACTGATTGTTGTTCGATGAAATCTATGTTAAATCAGACTTAAGCTGTTTAATTATCTTATATACAGATTCCGACAGTTTGTAAATTACTTTTCGCTATGTATGCCCACACATCACACTTGTTTCAGCATTTGAATAGTATAACTATTTACAATTTACAAATTACTTTATGACGAGGAATATTTTATCCATTTAATAATTAAATGCCGATACACATATGCGAATTTACAGCATATTAAAACATTATGAAAGTCAAAAAGAAATAAATATTCAGTATCATTTCATTTAGATACATATGACATACGCATTTGCTTTTTGTGAGACATTACGGTCGATATTGCTATTCAAGTAATTGTTTAATATCCAGACAGAACATTTCATGTTGTAGATCTTTGGCTGGGTTTCGCCATATGAAGATGTACATCATACCACTGTTAAGCCTTCTTCAAAACAGTGCTCCGAGAGCTAGTTATAATGCATCAGTGATGTTCGTTTCCGGGAAACAAACCGTCCGATATACTAATTTACATATAGAGAGGGACTGGTAGATAAGAGGTATCGAGGGGTTTCCTCATTGTCTATGTATTTTATCGTCAGCAGATTTCATTACCCACCATAATTCTTTTGATTTGACAATTCTATGAAACACGATTTATCTAAAAATAACATATTTACCTTTAGAAAATCTGAATGCCGCTTTAAGAGTACAATACAAATACGTAACTCTCCATGATACAATCAAACCCCGTGACTAGCACTTCACGAAGAAATGATAGTGCTTATATATTTTCAAATATAAAATACTGATTTATAGAGTGTATTGAACTAGCAAATAACTGGGTAAGATGCAAAGAAACAATGAAATGATTTATATGACCTAAATTATAATGTTCATTCTCATAAAGGATACAAGACCTAGTTCTTCTGTTCGAAATGAAAAACAATATGATAATAAAACGTGCACATATCTTTCCGTATAAAATAAACTTAGAGACATAATGCTGAGACGATTTCCCCCGGCAATAGCACATAAAATACATTAATTATACCATAATGCTATGATGTCAGTGGTTTATTAACTCCAAATATCGTTAAGCAATCTCGAGACTTTATATGGTGGACAAAGTAATTCATATAAAATCCCCGTGGAAATTTGAATCACAATCTAAACACATAACACAACTAAACAAACATTTTAAAGAACTATGTATTGTTTGTTATTCATCAAACTGACCATTTTCTTGCCAATAAGGTTGAATTTAGTAAGATTTTAAGTTCTTAATCTAAATTCCTGATTTATGATTTAGTGCCAGTCCCTGCTATGGATTCTTTTAATCTAATTTACATTTTGTCTTTGACTAATATTTTAATATAAGACTTGTCATAAAGAGTTTCGAGGGTTTTTTTCATGAAAACAAATTGGTTTTACCTTTTAGAAATGCAGAACTTTGCTTACCCACGTGATTGTTTTACACGAATAAC